GACAGCCTCGTCGAGGGCGTCGACGTCAGCGAGAAGGTCACCCGCGCGAAGTTCGAGGAGCTGAACATGGCGCTCTTCAAGAACACCCTCGAGCCCGTGCAGAAGGTGCTGGCCGACTCCAAGCTCAAGAAGGCCGAGATCGACGAGATCGTCCTCGTCGGCGGCTCCACCCGCATCCCGAAGGTCCAGCAGCTCATCAAGGACTTCTTCGGCGGCAAGGAGCCGAACCGCCGGATCAACCCCGACGAGGCCGTGGCCTACGGCGCCGCCATCCAGGCCGCCGTTCTGACCGGCGAGAGCGAGCTCGGCGGGAAGGTCGTCCTGGTCGACGTCATCCCGCTCTCGCTCGGGATCGAGACGGTCGGGGGGGTCATGACGACCCTCATCGAGCGCAATACGCAGATCCCGACCAAGAAGGGCCAGGTCTTCTCCACCTACGCGGACAACCAGCTCGGCGTCCTCGTCCAGGTCTTCGAGGGCGAGCGCCAACTCACCAAGGACAACCGGCTGCTCGGGAAGTTCGACCTCTCGGGGATCCCCCCGGCCCCGCGCGGGGTCCCGCAGATCGAGGTCACCTTCGACGTCGACGAGAACAGCATTCTGCAGGTCAGCGCGGTCGACAAGTCCTCCGGGCGCAAGGAGGAGATCGTCATCACGAACGACAAGGGCCGCCTCACGCCGGAGGAGATCGAGGCGATGGTGCAGGAGGCCAAGCGCTTCGAGGAGGAGGACCGCAAGGTCCGCGAGCGCGTCGAGGCGAAGAACGCCCTCGAAAGCATCGTCTATTCCCTGCGGAACCAAATCAACGACAACGAGAAGCTCGGTGGGAAGCTGGACGCGAACGACAAGAAGACCATCGACGACGCCTTGAAGGAGGCGATGAAGTTTATCGATGAGCACCCCGATGTCGATCTGAAGGAGTACGAGGAGGCCCAGGAACGCCTACAATCGATCTCCAATCCGATTATTCAGAAAGTTTACGCCGCCGCCGGGAAGCCGCCTGGGGGCGCCAGCGATGCCGATTCCATGGATGATCTTTAATGTATTTAAATAAAAATAAATAGTAGTCGTACTATCGTTTTTATCATTACTATTATTATTACTATTACTATTATTATTATTATCATTATAAGGGGTACGATATGAATTTTCCTTGGGAAAATTTGTTACTTCTGTTATATATTATTGGGATTCATTTCTTTTCACGTTGAGTTCGTTTCCCTTTATCTATGCGATGGAAATTATATGATTTCTAAAGTTTCATACATACGGATTATATACTGTAAAGGTTGCTGATATTATTATTATTATTATTATTATTATTGGGTGAATTTGTGAAATAAGAGGTCTTCTGTATCGGATTGGCTAGGAGCTTAAAGGAAAATATCTGTGTAATCATCGAGGTAAAAAAAAATGTGGTAAGTGCCGTGAATTTTTTTTTGATAAAATGGGCTTGTGCTATAATTAATTAATATTATCCAGAAACTTGGAAGAAATAAGTTAAAAGACAATAATCCGCTAAAAGAATTACTCTTTCCTATGGATAGGCAATACAATCTTCTTCTTGGGTTTGATTTTCTCGAATGTCTTGAAACTTTTTTCTTCTTTACTGTTTCTAGAGTTCTCTGAGATGTTCGCTATATTGGGATGCTGTGTATTCTACGTTTTAACTGTACAGCCTCGCCTTCTTTTCCTTTCTAATATTAATTCCTAAGGAAAACGAAGGACAATGCCGAGGCTGCAGTTAAATCACTTTATTTTGAATTTTCTTCATTCTGCTCTATCAATTTTCATTACTTTTGTTTTCTTCCTTCTCCATTTAACGTTATTCTTAAGGTTGGGTTTCGATAAAGTTTAAATATCCTACCATCAGAAAGTTTTATAGATTCATTTTGGTGAGTTTGTGTGTTTGTTACCACACTATTTATGTGGGGGTGAGGTGAGGATCATTGCTGATTCTCAATTATTTATCATTTTTCCCAGCAACAGTAATATATATATATATATAAACAAAAGAGTTTATTTACTAACGAATAACTTGCCTATCCCCCCCCAAAAAAATAGAAAAATGAATCCTGCTGAGGGCGTACGGCGCCCACTATCGGCAAAGTTTCGTCTGGGTGTGAGTATCGGTCCTGCCATTTCATCTTCCCCCCCTGAAGTGAACCCTCCTCCCCCTCCACCGGTGAAGGGAATGTCGGTAAAACCTCTCGAACACATCACCGCACTTAAAAAAATGACAATTTTACCTCCCAATAACGCGCAATCGGCTTCTCCTCCAATTCATACGATTAATAATAACAATAATATTAATGTGGATAGTGTGGGGGAAAAAGAAAGGCGTTATGGCGGCGCGATTGTGCGTGTGAGCGAGCTTCGGCGGCGTGGAGGACTCCTCCCTGAGGCCTCGCTTCTCGGCGGGGGGCTTTCCTCGTCAAGTTCACTTCCTTCGACAAGTGCGCCCTCTTTTCATGAGCCTTTTTATCTCGCGCGAGTGGACGAAACAAAAGAGAAGGAAGGAATCGAAATGAGAAAAAGACGCGAACGAGGCGATGAGGCCGATCCCGGGCGAAAAAGCCGCCGTGTGGGCTCCTCCGCGGCGCGAAAGAAGCCGAGCGCTCGCCGTCGAGGTTCATCGACCGGCAAACGCTCCAAATCCTCCTTTTCTTCACTTTCTCTTCGCGCTGACGGACGGCCTTTTGAATATCGCTGGTTTACCGCGCACGGCAAACGCCAGCTCGTCTACGACGGCAAACCCTACACCGGCAAAAAAGCCCATCAAATGTGGACCGAGCTCAAACGAATCGAATTGAAGGTCGCGAATTCGCGAATGCAATGCCCCCCTTCCGGAATCCCCACCTCTAGGGCGACGAAACCCCAACCCCCTAAACCCCGATCACCATCAAGGGCCTTGTCAAAAGGGATTTCCTCACCCCATGCCCCATTACGCGCCGAGTGGGCGAACCTTTACCAGGACATCGACCTCGGCGATGACTTCGACGTCGCGGATTCCCATTTTTTGTCTTTGAATAATTCGTCCGCGCCGACAAAACCGGCACTTCCGGCCGGTCGATTGGCCATCAAAGAACCGATTAGGGGGCCTCGGCCGGTGGGGCCGCCGAAACCGCTATCGGGCACTTCTCCCGCTTCCGCATTTCCTACACCGAATGGGATGGTGGGAATGATCGAGGACGAGGAAGCGCCCCGGGGTGAGAACCCTTTAACGAGCCCAAAGCCGCCCCCACTTCCTCATAAAGAGGCCACTTCTTCAAAAATGGAATGGCCGATATCCTACTTCGGAAGCGATAGTGAAAGTTCTTATAGCAGTAGCGATGAGGAGGGGGAGGAGGACGACGACGAAGAAAGTCTCACCGACGATGAAAAGGTGATTTTAGTCTCCCCAAAGGTCCAAACTGATGAAGAAGTCCATCCTTCTAATAGAAGGCGTGATTTAAATTCAACTAGGCAAAAAAGACGAGAAGTAGGAGCCCGTTTTTCTCCTAGTCTAACCTCTCGCGTCGATTACAAAGGGGTAGAGATAGTCGAGCATGACGGGTGGCTTTACACTGCGGAGTTGTTGAATTCAATTCAAAACGAGGGCAAATTCGCGCTGGATAATTCTTCTCAAAAGAAAAAAAGCAACATGAATTATCCCTCTTCTACGGAGGGGGGGTTAGTAGTTATAGGAATGCCCAATCCGCAGTGTAAACCACCTTTAGAAATGCCTTTACTTCGCGATAACGACGCTTTTGCTCCTATTCTCAATCGCTTTGAAGAAGACGGATCGGTATTTGAATCCTTAAATAAGAATGAAATGGTGGATTTATTTGAAGCCGGTGATGAGATTGGTGGGGTTCGCTATTCCATGTAATCCTGAGAAATCGATCAATAAAGAAACAAACCCAAGCCCTCCCCAAGAGGAATAAAGAAAAAGAATACTACACGTGATTAAAACTCATACTTAGTGTTTTTGTCTATCAATTGATATATACATATCCATACATTTAGTGTCTTTTTGTAACCAATTATATTTCCCCCCCCCCCTCAAACTCAATGTCTAGTTACATAAAGGAGAAAGGAGGGGAGTGTGGGAGGCTTGTTGCTGAACATCATACTACCTTAAAGTCGAATTTTCCCTCTTGTCTGACAATGCCTAGTACTTTGAAGGGGCGAGGGAGGTGGATTATTGCGCGCTCGGATGGCTATTCGATCGTTCTGGATGAGCCTCATCAGCCAATTTTGATTGGTCGAAGCCTAGAGTTACCTCCTAGTTGTTTTCTTCACGCCAAATACGCCTCAAGAGAGCATTTGCGGATGATATGGGAGCCTCCTTTTTTACTTGTACATCCGCTC